TTTTATTTTTATTTTTTTTATTATTTTTTTTTTTATCACGCATTACTATTAAAAAATGTGTTAGCCGCCTATTACAAGTTCTTGATCACGCTACAAGAATAATCATTTTTAATGACGATAATTTTGGTCACTATGTCGTGACAAAAGATACCGTCACAATAAGAGGTATTATTGTGACGACATTCGAACATATAGCGACAATATTAGGACATTATTAGCGACGGTATTTTTCTGACGACATAGCGACAAAAATTATCGTCACTAAAACTGATTATTCTTGTAGTGACGCATTGTAAGCATGCTAGTGTGTAAACAATAAAAAACAATTCAAATTTTAAACCATCACAAGTTCCCCTTTCACAATATACTGTAAAAATGATGTAAACATTTAGAAAAAAGCCTCCAACTTAAAAAATGCTATAAACATTACATTAATATAATATAATATAATATAACATAATATAATATAATATAATTTTTATTAAAACGGCAGGCCAGCGTTTAGGCCCGCTACTTGGCGGGGCTAGAAAAATCAGGCCCAACCCGCCCCTTTTCGGGGCCGGGCCACAAGCTATTTTGACAGCTTTAATTCGGAGCTTAAATGTTGTCCTTTCTGGTTGATTATACGATCACTCATGTCTACAGGTCGAGTTTCACAAGTCATTCGAGAGCTCTAACTCGGCCCGTCGTTGTCCCTTTGATCCTCTCACGCTCCTTTTGACCTGAAGACTCCTCGTCAGCGCTCGACCTTCCTGCATTTCTGCTTCGATGCACCAGTTTGTTCAACCAAATTAGCCAGTTAATTGGGTTTGCTCTTCCAGATATGGTATCTCATGTATATAATATAAATTAAGTTTAATTATTAATATTAATTATAAATAATTAAATTATTTATTAACTAAATAAATTCATCTATTAAGTCTATTATGTAATATAAAATAGGAAAAATATTATAATATAATATTCAAATAATATTATATTATAGAATGGGTAAGTGGTATTTAAAATATAAATTGAAAAAAAAAAGTTACTTTTCATTTTACTTTTTTCTTAAAAAAAAATAAAAATTATTAACACGAGGAATAGTGTATACACAACGCTGCTAATTTTATATACATAACATTGTGTTCGACCGCTGATACTGTCGAGTGAGGGAGCAACAGATGTTCAATTCCTCGGCGGTCCACAAACTCTCCTCTCTCATGGCCACTAAACCCCACAACATCCGCCGCAGTAAGCCTCCCGCTACTCAATTCGTGCAGTTTTTTTTAACCTCGTTACGAAAATTTTACTGACGCATTTCATCAAACAGTTGCTGACCCTTCGCTGCTGGCCGCCGCCGCCGCCAACAAGAAGCCACGGACCATGGCCACCGCCTCCTCCGGTGGTTCCGAGACAAATCCCATGAAGGACGCCTTTTCGAAATATGCCACTTACCTTAATGATCTGGTGCGACCCTTTTCGTCGCTTCTCTATATTGTCTGACATTTTCATGAATCAGACTGGTGTTTGTCAAAAAGTTGGGATCTTTAGTACGAATACAACTGTTCTGCATAATGTTAGCTTGTCTCTGTGGGTTTTCTTTACTGATAGTGTTTGGTTAACGTTTTGTTCATGGAGATTTTCTGTTACTCGAGTCGTGCAAGACCCTTTCTTGGAGATGTTGCTCGTTATTTTGCTGAATTCTGTACTTCTGAGGCTTAACTTGAAATTTTCTTTGGCCACACAAACATGTTTGCCCGCCGATCTCTGTTTGAATGACTTAAAATGGTACACTTTCCCGACACAGTGAATAACGTAAAGTGGCTATTTTTTCCATCAAAATGCAAAGGTTCGTAACTCATTGCTGATAGAACAGCATTATGTTTACAATGGATTCTTTACCTATCACGTGGTATTGAGCTTATGCAGATCATTAGGTAATGAGCACTGTATATCTATTGTAGCAGTCGGTCACCAATTTTTGCTGTTACAATTAGAAATACTGATGGAAGTTGTTAAGTTTCGATCGGTTAAATTGTTGCGCATTTCTTGATTGCTTGATATATTCGTACTGCTGTTGATCTGTGTGCACAAACAGAATGAAAAGAGAGAACGGGTTGTGAAAGCAAGCCGTGATGTGACTATGAATAGCAAAAAGGTCATATTCCAGGTGCATAGGTAAAAGTTACATTTTTAGCAATGAATTTGTTTGAATGAAAATCTGCCTTGATAATTGGTTTCATCTTTTGTAATAACAGAATGAGTAAGCACAACAAAGAAGAGGTTTTGGAGAAGGCCGAAAAAGATTTAGCTGCCGTGATGGATCAACACGTGTCACGCATAGTAAAAGAGCTGCATGGAACAGACTTTTGGAAGCTTAGACGAGCTTATTCCCCTGGGGTACCCATAAATTAACTATTTTTCCACTGACTATTCTTAAAGCTGCATTAGGTTCTGAGGCCTAATTTTTTCCCCTTACATGTTCTAGATTCAGGAATATGTTGAAGCTGCTACACTCTGCAACTTTTGTAAAAATGGTACACTTTTGAATCTTGATGAGATCAATAATTCCTTGCTACCTCTAAGCGACCCGTCGGTGGAGCCTTTGCAGATTAATGTGCTTGACTATCTATTGGGGGTAATTGTTCCAAACGTTTCTACTTAGGAATGTTTGTGAAAAATTGTTATTCTGGAAATTTTGTTTTATATTTATTTAAGTAAGAGCGGAAAATACTTGTGAGTAAAGGTTCGGTAGTGTTTGATGATAAAGGTTGAATTAGAACGTGATAAACAAGAAGCCAGAATCAGATTGTGACTGAAATCTAAAACACCCTTCTGCTGCCTTTACATATTGATTGGAATTGGGTTTGATTCTGTATTTCAAACACACCCATTAGATTCGTAAACATATTAATCTTCAACACTTAAATTTAATACAGATTCAAACCTCTATCTGTAATATTTTTTGGGTAATCACTTCCGTACATTTTAGTGGTTACAAATTCGCCCATGATCACGTAGGAAAATAAACAAGCTTGAATGTTTAAGGTTTAAGTTACATTTACCATTTACAGAACCAGGACATTTTCTTTTGTCCAATTCTCTCACGCTTTTACTGTTGATTAAACTTGTTTAGCTGGCGGACTTGACTGGAGAGCTGATGAGGTTGGCCATAGGTAGGATATCAGATGGTGAACTCCAATACGCTCAGAAAATCTGCAGATTTGTGCGGGAAATCTATCGAGAGCTCAGTCTTGTTGCTCCAAAGATGGATGACTCTTCAGACATGAAAACAAAGATGGATGTCATGCTTCAGAGTGTTATGAAGATTGAAAATGGTACGGCCAAGTATTTCTTGTAAAATGTCTGTATTCTTCCTTAATCCTTTTTCTTTTTTCTCTTTTCCTTTAGACTCAATAAATGAATTTTGTAGTTCCAAGAGTAACTAACGCATTCATTCAGTCCCATAAACTGGAACTTGTCTGTGAAATAACCGTGTACTGTTTTCGAGGCAAATGCTTAGAAGCCGAATTCTCTTTACATATGGGTCAATTATCTAAGAAAAAATGTTTCTTTAATTAGTTTTGTGACTTGTTTGCAAATTATTATAATTTCCGGTCGTATACGTTTCACGATTACATATCTTCGATATTGAGACTTATAAATCTATATTTATTGTGCAGCTTGCTTTAGTGTTCACGTCAGAGGATCAGAGTATATCCCATTTCTTGGATCAGAAGATGCCAACTTCTCTTTGTTGGGAGTGTCCCATGATGAATGATAAAAAGCCTATAAAATGCCAAAATTCACCTAACATTTTCTAGCTGCAGTGTTCAAAACTGAAAATCCGAAGGAGAGAACCTGATCGTAGATAATCTCAGACACGAGCGACAAAACCAACTTTCCTTATCGTGTGATTTGCTCGTGCATTTTTATTTTCGTATTTCATTTGGATTCAGTGGCACGATTACGAACATTTATTTTGCACAATTAAGTGGGCTTGTGCATGCTCTCTCTCTCTCTCTCTCTCTCTCTCTGTGTGTGTGTGTGTGTGTGTGTGTGTGTGTGTTTTGTTAAATTTGCATTTATAATTTACTGTTCTATCATTTAGGCCTATGATTGTGACATATAGATGTGATATTGTGAAGATGGAGGGGAAGTGACCAAGCCCAAGGCGCACTACATATACATACATGAAAATAAAGCATATTTGAATTATATTGGGCCTATCTCTTGATCTTGGATTACCTTCTGAATATTGCAGATTATAATTAGGGAAATTTTTACGTATCTAACATAAAATTGGAAATTTTGCAATATCATTGATAAACAAGTAATTGTGTATCTACTTATTTGTCAAGATTTAACTAAATTTATGAATAAAATTCAGTTACCTAAATTCTGTCGAATCATATGATAGGCACACGTTAAAGATCATAATTTGATGTTCAAGTACTTCTTAAAGGCAAAGTAATTTCTCTCGAATCATATGATAAGCATATGCTAAAGATCATAATTTGATGGTTCAAGTACTTCGTACGCTTATAATAATATAGGAAGATGCTACGGTCCTGTTATGGAATCATATGATAAGCACATGCTAAAGATCATAATTTGATGGTTCAAGTACTTCATACGCTTATAATAATATAGGAAGATGCTACGGTCCCGTTATGGAATCATTCCGTCGAGGTTTTCACCCACATGATGATCTACAACAAAACTCGCTAGGTCAACTGGCCAAGACTATAATGGTCAGACTAATAATATAAAAGAAGTAAGCTCCATCATCAATCTCTCTTTTAACTGGCATCAAGATCCTGCGTTTGATTACACTAAACAAAATTCAGTTCTTTTGCAGTATATTTTCATGGAAGTCCAAACAACCTTTGATGGTTCGTCCTCCTGTTTTAGATGGCTCAAGCTATTCTTATTGGAAAGTTAAGGACTTATATCAAACAGCTCGATGAAAGAGCATAGACACTACGTGAAAATTATGAAATTCCAACGAAAAATTTCAACGAAAATATATTCCAATAGAATTTCAACAACAATTTCAATAGATATTCCAATGCTATTATTTTCGTTAAGAATTCTGATGGAAATTCCGACAAAAATGTTCCATTGGAATGATTTTCTATCGAAATTTCTGTTGGATTAATGACGATTCCAACGATAGATTTTCCAGCTATTGAAATATGAATTGGAGATGAAAATCCCAACGGTAAAAAACCGTTGGAATAATAGCCGTTTGAACGATCAAATTCCATCTAAAATTTCAATGAAAAATTCACTCCAACAAAAACTATACCGTTAGAATACCCGTTGGAATTTGGTTCACACTGATGTTTTTAGTTTTGTTAGTTAGGAGACATTAAGATTGAACAAAGAACCTCATGTGCCGTGGGTGATCATGCATGTGGTGGGTGAGTTTTTCAAGAAATTATATAAAATTAATCTTAGATAAATAAGAATTTGATATTCTAATATGCATGAGTATATTTCATATTAAAGTATAACAAAATATTTTTATTTGATATGAGTAAAAAGCATATTATGTGGTTGACTAGTCAAATCAAGATGCACCACCTAACTAGCAAGAATCTTCTTTTATTTTAATTAGTATTGAATCTTATTATATGTGCATAATTATTTTTTTTTTCTTTAACGATAACATAAAAAAACACAACGTGTGTTGATTTAATAGCTTACAGAAGCTGGATGGTCCATTGGATCGTTCTAAATAGAGCGAATTTGATAAGCACTATAAGTTAGCTATAAACTTATGTGATCAGTTTATATGTTTTTTTGTATATAAATAAGTTCGGTATGATATGAAGAGTTATTTTAAAAATATTCGAGCTTGTCTTATAAGTTATTTTTAGGTAGATTTTTAAATAATTTGTTGAAATCTTTACTTCAGTTGACTTATCTGCTAATTTTACTCAACACTTTTATCATAGCAGCTAGTTTTTCAGTCATGAGTCATAAACTATTAATCATAAGCTCGAAATTAAATTATACGCTACCAACTAGTTTATCTAAACATAGCCTCAGTATAAGTGTCGAACTCCTGCAAAAAGCAACTTCACAATTATTTTTGAATTATACGCACCCGTTTTCCCCCCGCTTTTTACCGCGTAAGTGTAATAATTATTATATATGTATAAAACAATAAAATCTTGATGTATTATATCAATTTTATATAGACTATTATGGTATTCTTTATTTTCAGGCATTGACGTGGATAAATGGATTCTGTTATACTTGTAGCATTTTTAAAGTGAAAATAGGTTCAACTGTCAATGGCTTTGGGATTGATTGTTAGTTGCCAACCTGCCATGACCTTGATTGTCTTGTACTTTTGCTCTTATAAATGGTACCATGCATGACGCGTTTGCCAAGGAGCCTCAATTATGGGCCAAATCATGAGAATCACAATAAATGATGTTTCGTATAGACATGTTCACGGGCCGAACCGGCCCGCGAACCGGCACCAGCCTAGCACGGTTCGATCCCGGTTCTATTTTTTTGTATTTTGGTCCTGCCGGTCCGGGCCGGGTCGGACGGCAGGCCACATTGTTAAAATCTTTTGTTTTCTAAGGGCCGTCCGGTCCGTGAACCGGCGGGTCGGTGAACCGGTGGTTCGGGCCAGTTCATAGAACCGGCCCTTGGTTTTTAGCGGGCCGTGTGTTATAGGGCCCGTGGCCCGGCGGGCTGGGCCTTGGCCCGTTGACTGACCACCACTAGTTTCATATGGGCATTACCATTATTTGAGAAAAAAATTAAATATATTGTACTCAAGACAAATAATAATAGGTAATTTCACAATGAAAATGATATTATTTACAATTTATAATTATATACTAGTATGCAAAGCAAATATACGGGAAACATAAAAACTAACCTTAAATAAATAGTTATATGTAAGTCGTGTAAATATTTATTTGTAAATTAGATACTTTTTGACAAACGACATTTTCATTTGCATGTTGTCTACATATATCATAAAAATTGTAATACTTTCAACTCGTTCTTGTTCGTAACTATGAAAACAACATAGAGTTGGTTGTGACTAAAGATGGAGTTCTTGATTTATTGGCCAAGAGTTTGACCTTGACTTTTATTTATATATCGTTATCATCGCGTGGACAAGTTCTCGATGTATTGAATAATATATGAAAAAAAAAAAAATGATTTTGACTTTTAATTATTGCTATGACATATAAAAATCAAGACTATTAAAAGAATTTTAAAAGTTCCACAAATATGTCAATAATTGCTGATTCATTTGTATTAATACTGGTATAATATTCAGTTTAACCAAGCGTTTTTTCTTCCACCATTTT